TCAAGTGCGGCGTTGAATTAGAATATGACTTTGAGAAATCACGCGTGGTTTGAAGGCAAAAATCGAGCCTCTTTGAAGCCCCCTTGGTCTTCAGTGTATAAAATTTACATCGCACCCGGAATATACTCTCCTGATTTGCCCAGGTTATGTATATTGCTCCGAATTACAATTAGTTCCTACGCCTTCGTTGGAGGTTTCAAAGAAAAGGGATGGGTCGTACCGTTTCCAAATGCGAAATCGAATCATGATCAGGTAGATACGATCTATCTAAGACCTCTGCATATCCATCTACATATAAAAAGCAAGTGAACCTAAAATTTTCATCACCTCCAAACAATGTCTGAAAATGCGCAGAAATGTCTGAAACGTTGTAACACTATGTTCCAGCAATTTTATTTCCGCCGCCTCTCAGGCAATTTTTAAAATATACGGCTACCTAAACGATGGAAGTATTAAGCTCGCGGTAATATTTGAACTTCGGTTCTCAAGTTTTCTGTTGCTTAAAGATATCTACACCACATATGTTAACTACGTGTTTCTCATTTATGTCGGTTTGTTAGTACGTGTCTGTTGTATAGCAATTCGCCATAAGTACTGAGTCAGTCTACATGATGAAATATTCAGAGAACCATCATAGACAAGATAACACAAATTAAAGGTTAATCGAAATGGGTGGTACATTTGAGGATCATGAAATTTAGAAAAATGTATGTGTAGATATAGAAACAGTACTCCTAACATCCAAATATATAAATTTTCTTCTGTAGCGGTATACCAGTGATGACATCACCGCAGATTCACCAGTTGGAGTTTGTTACCCATTGCACAGTCGGCAGTGACCTCCATGAGGATGCAGCATCGCGCCATGGTCGCAATTGTCAACGATTGCAAGTTATTTCGAATTACACTGGTCAACACTGGTTTTGCCACACGAACTTTGACAGCTAATTTTGTTTTATCAGTCTACCCTCATTATTACATGACAGCTGTCATATGTCTATTAGCCTCATATTTGTTGTGATACGGTAATACTGATAACTAGTACTACGGCAGTAAATTAACAGAAACGCTTACAAGTAAATCCTTATAAAAATATTTGTTGTTGAATTTGAACACTTTTTTGTGATTCATTAACCCTGTCAATATGTCGAGGAAGTGTAATAATGATCCTAACTCTTTTTGTTATGTCTGCGGAGAACTAACATTCAAAAAACAACGACGAAATTTTACGAATCTTGTGTTGGAGTGTTATCACCAATGTTTTGGTTTTTCTGTCGCCCATCAAGACAAATCCTGGGCCCCTCATGTCTGTTGCATAACGTGTGTGAAAAATTTTACTGACTGGAAGAAAGGTGCACGACCTATGCCGTTTGCTGTACCCATGATATGGACTGAACAGCGAGATCACGTTTCAGATTGCAATTTTTGTCTCACAGACATAAAAGGTATAAATTACAAGAAAAAAACCACAGTTATTTACCCTAACTTATCTTCGGCTATAAGACCAGTCTCTCATTGTAAAAATTTGCCAGAACTAATACCAGTTGCAACTACGTCTGTTGAGAACAATTCACAACCGTCCACTTCAGGTGAATGTTTGACGAGGACGATGACTTTGAGTTAAAAGGAATTGTAAACGAGCCACATTTGATAACTCAAGGAGACCTAAATGATTTGGTTCGGGATTTAAATTTGTCAAAAAAGCAGTGAGAACTATTAGGATCACGTCTAAAAGAATGGAATTTGCTACATCATAATACAAAAGTTAGCTATTTTCGAAACCGTGATCAACACTTCAGAACGTATTTTTCTCAGGATGGAGATTTGGTGTTTTGCAATAACATAAATGAGATTATGAAAATGTTGGACATAGATTTTGATCTCTCTCAGTGGCGGTTATTCATTGATTCTTCGAAAGCAAGTCTAAAAGCAGTGTTATTGCATAATGGAAATAAGCTTCCGTCTGTACCTCTGGCCCATGCTGCAAATATGAAAGAAACCTATGAAAATATGAAACTTTTATTTGAAAAAATAAATTACAGTACATATTCCTTCAAAATCTGCGATGATCTTAAAGTTGTTGCACTATTACTTGGACTTCAGCTGGGTTATACAAAGTTTTGCTGCTTTTTATGTGAATGGGATAGCCGAGACAGAACTAATCACTATATAAAAAAAACATGGCCTACGCGTGCATCGTTAAATGATTTGGTTCGGGATTTAAATTTGTCAAAAAAGCAGTCAGAACTATTAGGATCACGTCTAAAAGAATGGAATTTGCTACATCATAATACAAAAGTTAGCTATTTTCGAAACCGTGATCAACACTTCAGAACGTATTTTTCCCAGGATGGAGATTTGGTGTTTTGCAATAACATATGTAAATGAGATTATGAAAATGTTGGACATAGATTTTGATCTCTCTCAGTGGCGTTTATTCATTGATTCTTCGAAAGCAAGTCTAAAAGCAGTGTTATTGCATAATGGAAATAAGCTTCCGTCTGTACCTCTGGCCCATGCTGCAAATATGAAAGAAACCTATGAAAATATGAAACTTTTATTTGAAAAAATAAATTACAGTACATATTCTTTCAAAATATGCGGTGATCTTAAAGTTGTTGCACTATTACTTGGACTTCAGCTGGGTTATACAAAGTTTTGCTGCTTTTTATGTGAATGGGATAGCCGAGACAGAACTAATCACTATATAAAAAAAAAACATGGTCTACGCGTGCATCGTTAGTTCCTGGGCAAAAAAGCGTAAAGTATTTACCCCTTGTAGAGCCAAATAATGTGCTTCTACCACCATTGCAAATTAGGATTAATAAAAAAATTTGTGAATGCAATGGATCGCAATGGGAGTGGATTTTGGTATCTAAAAGAAAAATTCCCTAAAATAAGTGATGCAAAGATAAAAGAGGGTATTTTTGTTGGCCCTCAAATTAGGGAGTTAATAAAAGATTCAAGATTTGAAGAAAAATTAAGCGATTTAGAAACATCTGCATGGAAGGCTTTTAAAAATGTTTTTGCAAATTTTTTGGGTAACCACAAGAGTGACAGCTACAGAGAGTTGGTTAGCGAGCTATTATTGTCATATCAAGCATTGGGTTGCAACATGTCACTTAAGATCCATTTTTTAGACTCGCACCTGGATTTTTTTCCTGACAATTTAGGGGCTGTCAGCGACGAGCACGGTGAGAGGTTCCATCAGGACATTTCTAATATGGAAAAGCGGTACCAGGGCAAATGAAGCCCAAATATGTTAGCAGCTTACTGCTGGACAATTAAAAGGGACCAACCAGAAGCTAAATATTCAAGAAAATCTTAGATTATTAAGTCATTTATAAAAAAAAAATAACTTTTGATTTACGAGATCTGTGTTTTTTCTTAATATTTTAAATTACTCAATAGAATAAAATCCTTGTCTAGCAAATTTTTTTTAACTGTTTATTTTTTCTTACAATCACCAATTAAAGTAAAAAATAACAAAAAAGTCCGTGTGGCACGACAAAGTTAAAATTTTGTTGACCAGTGTTATGAGCACATTATACAGGGTGGCCGATATGTAACCGACTGGTTTGTATCTTGAATATTTGTGAAATGAAATAAAATAGGTCCACTGTTTTCATCTTATTCTTTCATTAAAACTTACAAATTATGTATGAAAAATAATGTAAGACAAATGTCCGCCTAAAGAAGTCGCTAAAACCTGAACCCTCTTGATTACATTTTCCATAACTTTTTGATAGGTTTCGGGAGGAATATTTTCAATCGCTTCCGTTATATTGGTGGCCAGTTGACATCACCAAATCGAGAAATTAAACGTCTCGGAAATATGGTTCGCAAAAGATTCATTGTTTCACTAGCTGTGTGACAAGCTGCTCCGTCCTGCTGGAACCACATGTTTTTCAGCTTAAATTGTTGGATTTGAGGAGCCCGAAAGTTTTGCACCATATTATCAGTTGTCGGTAAAAATCGCTATTTTGGGTAGGTATTAAGCTGCAATATGTATTGTCGGCGACTTTCATGGTCACTAGGCTGTTGTTTTTGGGTTAACTGAACGTTGTATGTCCGCAAATGCAAGTCTTTTTATAAATACGGCCGCGTTGTGGGATTGTGTAGCGCTCCATAATGAATTGGACACATGTGCTTTAAACAACTACTACGGCGCCACCTATTGAAATGCGTGCATCAAATATGGGGTGCAATTTAATTATATTGTCCACCCTGTATATCGGACTTTTATCATTTAATTTTCCCGGTGTTACCGGGATCAGAAACTTCCTGATGATAGAACGTATTTGACTATTACTAAAGACGTAACAGTTACAACACCCAAGTTTCAACCCCTACAAAAAAATTCCGAAAATGATCATCAGGACCCTCCAAAACGTCAAAAAAGAAGCTAGAGCGATTTCTATTTTTTTGCATGCTTTTTTCCCTAGCTCTGCTACCACTACTACTGCTAACTACAAAGCTTTTTGATTCTTGCCATAGCAGTAACCTGGTGTGTATTCCATCAAAATCCGAGCGGTTCTTCTTACGTTATAGGCAGTTATAAAATGAGCAGACATACCGAAAGACAAATAGACAAACAGGCAGACAGACAGACCGACCGAAATAATTTTTCGCAATGTAGACCTACATGTAATGTAACATCCAAAAAACATATCTCAATTTCGAAATTTTTCGCTATTACAATACTTCCTCGCCAGCTTTGGCATAGGAAGTAAAAACACATACTTGATCATGTTTATCATACATTAAGCACTATGTAGAATATTCAGAGTTTTATATATGCGCAACTTAAAAATTAGGACCACCAATTCACAATTGACTTGATCTTTATTAGCAGCATACTAACAAACGCAACTCGTCCATTATACGACTAAAGTTGAATTTAGCGATACAAATTGATTCAGGCGGTCAAAGACAATGTAGAATAAAATACCTAAGTAACAAAAAGCGTATTAGAAAGTGGAGCAGTAACAAAAGCTCACCTCAATATCTTCCAAGTCAACACTAGTCTTCGCCATGGTAAAACGCACTGGTAGTCACCACAGCCAATACTGACGTTTAAGCAACAGTTTGTAGACGATAAATAATTTATCTTATCTGCCCTGAAACTATCCGAGTTTTGAATGAAAATGAACGTTCAACAACTGCGCCTGCGACGCGGTGTACGGAGGTCAAATATCCTATTATAATAATTACTGTGACACTGTGTACAGGGAGATTCGAAAAACAGCGAAATATTAATAGTATTGAAAATACAACTGAGAAAAATTTTAATTAACTATGTGACAGCTAAAAAGTTTAATTGTTTTAATTAAACACCGATTTATAAAACAGTTTACTGTTTACTTGAATCTATGAAACTAGTTTAATTAACCCAAAACGCAATCGTTTATTTAAATTTATTAAACCGTTTATTTAGATCGATTACACCAATTTATTTAAAATTAATGAACTATTAAAATGAGTTTACTTGTCCAAGTAAAACAATTTAATTATATAAATCAAATTTGTTCAATTAGTTTAGGTAAAAGTGTTTGCTTGGTTTTAATGAATTATTTTATTTAGATTTGAAAGGATTTCTGGATAATGTTTGGAATATAAAAGAACAAATAGCATTTTACTGAATGATGTATATGTATTTTAACTGTCCTCTGACAAATCTTAGATATCAAAAATTTTGTAATCTTGATTTTGATAGTTAATGTTTTCAAATAATATGTTACTTTCAATTAAACTGGTTCCAAAAAAAACTGTTTAATTAAACTAAATAATTTAGTTATCTAGAGTAATCAAAAAATGTATTACGGATATTGCAAATTTTCCAGAACAACTGTTTAATTCACTACGTTTCCTCAGTGCACAACACATAAAATTCATATAATTCCTAAACTTCCGCTGCTGAGATACGATGGTAGAAGGGTAGAATTCTACGGCATTTTTATGTATTTGCGATAAAGAGGGGAATATCTTCTCACAAAAAAATAAGGTTGCAATTCATAATACTATAATATTAATTTCCATAAAAGGAAGAAGAAGAAGAAGATTGATAGAAAAGTATTTCGGGCTTCAGAATTAAATCTCAAACATTTTTATAAATCTGAACGGCGCGGAAAATGTTCTTCAGTAGTGGGGGTGGCAAAATCTCTCCCTTTCAACACCCTTGGAAAACTAAATACAACTCGAAATGATTAAGTTACTAAATAAAAGCGTCATGGAAATATTAACGACGCTCTTTAAGGAAGTATAATAATAATAATCAACGTCTTTTTTATTTGTAATAATATTATAGGAGGCAAGATTTTTATACTATATCTATTCTACCCCTTAACAATTCAAGATGTATAAAAACTTAAACTTTGTTGAAAATTAATACCTGTACAATAACGACAATATTAAGCAGAATTAACGTAGAGATATAAAGAAGACATTAGGTCACAAAATATTTCGCTGCTGATGAAGTAAAATATCTTTCACCTTTTTGTTGAATTTGGGTATTTAATTAGTTTCTTTCAAACTGCGGTCTAAGGAACTATGGATATTTCCTCTTCGTCTGAATTTGTTTACTAAATATGGCGGTGTTTTTGGATAAAGAACCCTGTGAGTCAGACTTAGCAGCTAGTATTTATACATTTTATTAATTTTCATCCAGTTGACGTCATTAATGGCCTTCGATATATGATCCATATTTTCTGAGATCATTTACAAGTCTGCAACATGTATTCATAATACTTTGAATACGATTTTATGTCATAACATTTAAATAGGGATAGCAAAACCACTAAGCAATACGATATTTTTAAAAACAAGAAAGATTCACACAATTGCTTTCTCGCAGATTTATGCAATATAGCCTTATTTGCAAATAAAACTCGGAAAACAGCGTAGCACTGGAAAATTACATGAATGAATTACGTGTTTAACAAATTTTAAACCACCATCCATTATAATATCTAGGTTCTTAGAATGATCCACAGGAACTATTTTATTACCTTTTAAATTTATGTTTATGTAATTTTTTAAAGCATTCCTTTTTGTTTTATTTGCGTATAGTAAGATTTTCTTTAAAGGGTTCAAACGTAGATTATGACTACTACTGAACTTTTCAATTTAGGCAAGATCGTGATTAATTTTATTATTCGCTGTTTCCAAGTCATTACTACTAAATGGATCTGTTTCTAAATCTAAGATATATGATGGAAATAACAGGCCCCTGTGGGGTACCAGAACAATTTTTTAGTGCGGTAGGGTACTGTTAATTTAGATGAACTTTTTGAAGCCGTTTTCAGGGTAGGTTTTAATAAACGAAAGATAGAAAATTCATAATAGCTGCTTTTATACACAAGAGGTGAATGATCAATTGTGTCAAATGCTTTAATGAAGAATGGGAGCTGGGTATCATCGTACCCACAATTCACATGGGCGATAGTAAAGATTTGAAGGTGCATTAATCAAGAAGGTGGAACACCAGCTATCTGATGCTTATTCAGGAAATGATTTAGCACTTGGGACAATGTGCTTCCCATAAAGCAAGAGATCGGTAAAACTCTGAAGTAGAGACTCTGATATAGCATTCATTGACTTGGGAAGCATTTGAATTTCAAGGAGAAAAGTTTAGGAAATCGTTCTAAAATCTGAATACAGGGAAAAACTTTTTCACAGCAATAAGAAGCTTGTACCGAACATTGCAGAAATGTGGTTAGAATCAAAGGTCTAGAGTCAGAAGAATTCATCACAAGCAGAGGTCTTAGGCAAGGTAGTGATTTGAGCACCACGCTATTCATTGTTGTTATGGGTCAGATGATTAAAAAAGCAAGCTCAAAGGTGAAGAAGCTGCGAGTGGGACACAGCAACTTAAGACCAATAACTTTGGCAGAGTGAGCTTCTGCTGAATTTTAGCAAACCAAAAATACAAGCCGGATGTATGAAAACGTCCCCTTTCCCCTAGCTTGGCAAAAATTGAATGGAAAGAATATTTTTTACAAAAATTAAATTATTTATGTACATGTTCTCTACAAGCTGAATCAATTTCTATTAGATAAGAAATTACTAGGATTAGTTGAAATATATGTTAGACAGAAACGTATTTTTGCAACTATATATGTTACGTGTGTTTCAAATTCGAACCTTGCCTTTGAGTTCTTCATTGGACTTCTGCGTAACATTATACTTCAATAATTACTGACCTCCAGGCTACACGGTCAATAAATATCACATCTCATGATAAATATACGCAACGCGGACTACCTAATGGGGACAAGTTGTGTAAGTAAGTAAAAAATATGGAACTTGAAACTGGCGTTAGTTGGAAATCCACATTGTCTACAAATTACATAAACATTACTACTTTTTCTCTTCTACGCGGTGGCATAATTAGAATTTCGATCTGACGTTTCAGCTCTCAGTTTTTTCAAATTACGTTGTCTACATGATTACCCTTAAATAATATAAATGAGTTACATTATGTTGTTCCTCATTCGATGAGGTTAAACCATATATGATGTTAGGTACTAGAAGATTTCTATATCAATGAGTAACATGTTATCATCTTTGACATTCTATTAAATGATCAAGGCTTACTCAAGAAAAAAAGTTTGCTATAATATTTGAAATCAGAATTAAAAGCTGTTCGCTTATACAGAAATGTCAGACATCAGAAGTATCAAAGTTGAGGCCAGCGATCAGAGGCGAAAAATCATAATAATGTTCTATTTATGTCACCTTGCAGAGACAAAAAGGTGACAATGTCAATGTGCGGTTTATTTTTAAATCCTTTTCCAAATAAATTCAGAAAAAAATGGAAACGGTTTTTGGAACATTCATTCACTTTTCCGTGTATCTCTGGAGATACTGGAAGCGTAAAAACTTGTTAAATGCATTTTCTAAAATATTTAAATTCGCAACTTTGCCACCATTCCACCAACCCGTATCTCTTACCCTTCCGAAGATGGCAATGATGAAACTGTGACAAATTTGTTTTTCAAATTATTCTAGTATAAACCAGGTAGATATATACTTCTACATATTCCATAAAAAAAACTAATTGTAAAAAACAATGAATATATATGGACAAAAAGAAATTACTTTCGGAGTTAGTATAATATTCCTGGCTATATCAAAACTTCTCCCTTTGAAGTGCATGTTAGAATATACTAAAAGATGTATGAATCACCCTGTAGGGAGCGATATATTCAAAGTGGGAATCGTATCGTCCACAATTTTTGTAATTAACGTTTTTGATTATGTTTTACAGTAATGGAGATATTGTTCAATTCGATACTAAAAGCTCACCCTGTATGTCTGATTTGTTCCAGTAGTTGCGTCGCTGGACAGCTTTAGCATTTTTGAAGATTTTTTTTGATGTTAATCGCTACAAAGGCCTTAACTTTTGGCCTCTAGTTTCATATTAACTCTAACTCTAATGCACTTTTAGGCAAAAAATTAACGATTCTTTGCAATAACCAATTAACTGTTGCAACCAACTGGGCGTATCCATTTTGAAGGTGTTTTCATCCCTTCCCCAATTCCTTTATAGACTTATATCTTTGAAGTTTAAAAAACAGTTACCCAGAATTTTCTATTTCGGGATGAGTGACCGTTGCATTCACTGTAACGAATATATAAATTCATCTGTACAATTTCTTTTACAACAGGGTTCACATTTGGCTTTCTTGAATGTTTCAAAAAAGTGATCCTATTAGTTTTCCATTTCCATATGAATTATCCAATCGTCCTAGAAGACTATATATATATGAGCTGGGTACGCCCTTGCAAAGAGATCTCGGGATGATGTAATTGAGCACTCAGGATAAAGGTAAGACATGAGGATGCAAAAACTTGCACAAAACAAGAAGTATTGGAGAGAACTTGTATTACAGTGTGATAAACTTAATGTGTAATGTGTTTTTCACATCTCGCACCACTGTACGGCAGAAAGACTTACGATAATACAGGGTGCGGCAGAGAAGACGAACGTTTTTGGGATGGGTAGTACACCCCGCCTCCGTCTACGAGAGTGCTTTGACTCGTAAGATCCTAGCATTATTTTACCAGTTCTCGTTACGGAGCCTTGGACGGTGGGCCACCGCCTTTTCGCCTATGATTGTTTCGTCCGAAATAATGAGTCAATCATCGTCGTACAGCGTGAGTTACGTCGCCACTTCAACATTCATCGGAATAGAGCTGTTCCCTCTCGAAAAACCATCCTTCGTTGGGATCAACAGAAGACCAAGAGGAGCGCCACGAACAGTTCGAACTCCTGAAAATGTTGAACGCGTCCGACAGGTCTTTCTTCGCAGTCCGACTGGTCTTTCTTCGCAGTACGACTCGATCTGCCCGGAAACATGCTGCTGCACTTCGCCTTAGTGATCGTTCGGTAAGGCGAATTTTGCATATGGATCTCCGCTTTCACCCCTACAAATTGGCCATTGTGCAACAGTTACAGCCCGGAGATTATGCTCAACGAATGAACTTCGCACGTGAGATGGAAGCACTGATCGATCAAAATGAGAACCTCAAGGCTAGAGTATACGCGAACAAGCCCCGAACTCTGGACGAATTGAAGGGCGAAATTCGCGTAAAAGTCGTCCAAGTTGAGAGAGCGATGTTGGAGAGAGTCTACGCGAACTTGCACATGCCTGATGTGATTTTCCACACTTGACAGTCTCAAATGCTATTTCCTTGTGAACCTGATTCGATCAATAAATTTGTTTTCGAGTAAAAATTAACTATTTTATGATTTTTTTAAAACCGTCCATCCTCTCTGCCGCAACCTGTATATAGTATATTCAAGTTTATTTTGAGCTGGAAAAACTACGTATTGAGCTCATCACAAGTTTATATCATATTTTAAATCGAAAAAATAATAAGCACTCGATCGCTACTTCTATACGCTTTACGCTACCACGCCCAGCATTTATGACCGAGTGAATGACATTTGAGTATCTTGTAGATTTAATTCTTTCTCCATTTCAAAACCGAAAGAAAGAATCCTATTTTAAATCTTTGTTCACGAATTTCCACAAAATGCAGCAATACTTCCGTAGAACTAGTGTCGCTGTTTGTTGAATCGCCCTATCTTGATACCCATTATCGTATACCATACGAGGTACGATTAAAAATGTGTCGTGCTTATCAATAAGCTTCTACTTTTTACTTAATATTTATTCAACCACATAGGCAGGAGGACATTATTCCTATAGGGAGTTGGTTGACCTCTGTTTTGCTCCCTGTAGATTCGGGATATAAATTCTGTGTCGGTCCACTTCGTTTCGTGGAAGGTTCACATGTCGCAAATGTCAGTACAACAGTTACGACTTGGCAATGGTGCATCTGTGAAGAATAAGAGCCCGTCGTACCTAGTAGTAGTTGCATTACCATAATTGACGTTTGATTGACATGCGCAAATCGCGTTGTTCGAGTCAAACGTCAATTTGTCAAGGAATTTGTCTATTTGATTTGTCATTTTTTAACTTTACGTGTGGTCGCCAGATTGTTCGGTGTGTAATTACATATTAAAAATCATCATTAAAAAAACCATATCCGTCAGATATGAGGTCGTGATCTTTACTCGGAAGCTGCACATTAGCACAGTGAATGATTTTGTGTTGTATTCCATACATTGGCCTTGCTTTGACATACACACCCAAAACCAAAGAGTTTAATTAATATATTCCGGCTTTGATACACGATCGTTATCAATTAGATAACGAGATGCAGGCCATAAAGTGTGTTGTAGTTGGTGATGGGTAAGTATTATCAGAAACATATTTTTCTAGGAAATTTTATTGGCGCTTCCTATCGTATCCTAGTACACATCCTGCGTAGGATTCGTCTATCTCAATGTGCTAGACAAAGACGAAACTAGAAACGTATTTCTTGGAATTTGAATAAATAACCTTTGTAATCACTACTTGTAGCTATGTAGGATTGAAGATTCTCCTAGAATTCAAATAAATTTTATCAGTGGCCTACTTTTATTGCGTTCAGATTTTCTGAGATGTGCATTGTGTAACATATTTATGATTCATGAAATTCAATTAATGATATATGAGAATCGAATCAAAATATTACTCACTACCCATTAAAATTCAGAATTTTAGTTTACATTGGTTGTTTTTATGGTAGTAATAATGGACTTGTTAACAAGTATGACTAAATTCTTTATCAATTTTCCACACCATCATTTTTCCACATTCAGTTTAGACCCTAGTAAGTTATAAAGTCATGATAAGCTTAATATTTCTCTTTTATCAGTCAAAAAGACAATTTTACAATGTGTACTGTCCACTTCATAATTTCTGTTAAGTTGCCAATATCTTAATTGAATAATAAATGTTGCTGTCTTCTTTTGCAAAATAACCTTCAATGCAACATAATCCTTGATATTTAACTATCAAAAAATGTACCATGTTTCAAAAAAAAATTATTGAAAGAGATTTCACAGTGGAATTATATTTTTGAGATTAAATGAAGATGTTCCTCTTCATTAATATATAAAATTTTGCTAAGCAGCATCTTTATTAAACTCGCCAAACTGGTATTAAACTAATAGTGTATTAGTGATCTACAAAGATGTTCTGTGGGATAATGAGGCCTTCAAAATGGAACTTTATCAAAAAATGCCATTTTTTTTTCTCAAATTAATCAGTAAGCCAAATCTTACAAGATCAGTATTTACGGTAATCTGTCAGTGATTATTATGAAATGTGATTTCATTGACCATGTAGCCAGGATCAGTACTTATCAATGTATAAGATTACATAGAGATCCACTAACACTGATGAAATGATCAGTAAATGCTGATAGTACAGACCACTTTAAATACTGATCATGTGATATTTATCTAAGGATCAAAGATTACTGAGAAGTAGGACCCATTGAGCATTTTTCATTGTGCATTTTTTTTATTATCTAATTACAACTCCTTAGGCTATTATCTGTTATTTTATGTTTACTGTTATGCACTTCCCAACAAAAAGAATTTGAAACTCAATAATTTATAATTTTTTTTTCACCAATATGAAATTAACTTCTGTGGCAAATTACTATAAGATCTCATTTTTAGGTCTCCGCCTTATCAGCTCTTCCATGGATCGCTTATATTGATACTTTATTGTTTTGGTTTCTAAATATCTTCCACATACTGGTTTTTCAAATTTTCGTACTTAAATGGAAAAAACTTTCTTTACATCATTAGATGAGAGGACACCTTTTTATTTAGCCCTGAGTATATGATTTCATTATAAACTTCCTAAGCTTTTCAGAAATTCTACTTATTTGTCAACTTTATGTATAGTTTATAAAATACATGTTTTTATTATTTTTATAACTCTCTGCTTTGTTACTTTACAGTGCTGTTGGTAAAACATGTCTACTAATAAGCTATACTACAAATGCCTTTCCTGGCGAATATATACCAACAGTTTTTGATAACTATTCAGCAAATGTAATGGTAGATGGTAAACCTATCAATCTGGGATTGTGGGATACAGCTGGTCAAGAAGATTATGATAGATTAAGACCTCTGTCCTATCCACAGACTGATGTCTTTCTTATTTGCTTCTCTTTGGTGAATCCAGCTTCATTTGAGAATGTTAGAGCTAAGGTAAGTACATCTTTTTGATTATTTGTTTTTTTTACCTAGGCCTAATTCATAATAATGGTAATGTGTTCTTTATTTTCCTATCATATTTCGTACATTTCACACACACACAAATGAGAAAGAACATAATGATATTGACAAAACTTCAAGGCGAATCCAGCTAGAGGTAGAATTAGCCTAACATAAAACTAACCAAAAAACAAATAGGGTCGCCTAAATTAAACTTGGAAATTGTAATAATTTAATTGTTCATAAAGTAATCCAAAACTAGTTCCTTAAATTTATGTGGATTGCATGAGATAGTAAGGAAGAGAATTATAATATCTAGCAATAGTAAATTTGAAGCTTCTTCCAAAAGGAACTGTCCTGTGAGATGATATATTGTACTTATGAACATGAAGCACAGACCATATTGATTGTTATCAGTAAGTAATCTAGTTGAAATTCTTCAATCAGGTTTAAATTGCATTTTTCCATAATATTTTACTCTACATGCAATAAACTCATCATACTTGAATTATGAAACTCACTAACTGTAAAAAGTAATTTTCCTATTGCTGCAAAACTGAAATGTGAATTGTATATTTTTATTCCATTGACTACAAATTATCAGAGCATAGAAAATATAATTTGTTGAGATTAAAAATTGCAGTTAGCATAACAAGTTAATTACTTAAAATGCACATTGCTCCGTATCAGCAGTTTCTGGCTTACTTAGTAGCTTTTATATGCTGGTATTGTGTTGAAAATTGTTGAATCACATAAGACGTATTTAAATAAATTATTCTTTAATGTCTATTTTTATAACAGAAAGAAGGAGCTGTTAAGATTGAGGACCAAACTATTAATTTGTAGGAATTCTTGAGTCTGTATGTGAAGTAGAAGGTTTCATTGGTACAGTTTTCATAAAAACTTGATTACTTTATTGATTCAAATTATCAGACATTGAACATTTGAACAACTTGATATTGCTATCTTGAGAGAGAAAATCCATCCTATTCATTAAACTTTCCTATCTTATATATTGATTGATTAATGTTTCAGGTGATTAGCTATAAAAAATACAATACTCTTGGAAAATGTATAAATTGAAAATAATCCAATGTTTCTTACTATTGTGTTGTATATGTTTTTACTTATATGGAATTTGTGTAAACTTCAGAGTTTTTCTCTTTAATGTATACATAAAATGCTCAATATGTATAAATATGATGAAATTATGTTATTTGTCTTCTTTTCCCATCTGAGAAAATAAATGAAATAAACCTATTTCTGAAATATACAACTAGATGAAGACTTTTTCACTGTTTTTCACTATTTACTCATTACAAATATTATTGATATTCTAGTGGTATCCAGAGGTAAGACATCATTGCCCAAATACACCCATTATACTAGTTGGCACAAAATTAGATCTAAGGGATGATCGCTCAACAATTGAAAAACTTAAGGATAAAAAGCTGTCTCCAATAACTTACCCACAGGTAAGAAATTCCAAAAAAATGATATATTGCATTTACGATAGGTGTGTCAGACATGGAATTTTTTGCATTTTGTATCATCTGACTGACTCAAACAAAACTTTCAACATTGAAATTTTTATTTCACTGCCCAGATTTGACATGACAGTGTGAGTGATACTCAACATGTTTATAGCACAAATTTGGCAGCACTGTCTACTGTCAGTACTACCCATTGATGTAAAACCACAAAGCATAATCTGGATGACTTCAACATGAAACCATCTGTACAGATTCGTTAAGAAATTGTAGATGTAAAACGAGTATTATATTTGGCTTTTGGATACTTTTTAAAAATTTGCTTGTAAACAGTAATTTTCTTCTTAGGGTCTGGCAATGGCAAAAGAAATAAGCGCTGTAAAATATCTGGAATGTTCTGCGTTGACGCAGAAAGGACTGAAAACTGTATTCGACGAGGCCATACGAGCTGTGTTGTGTCCAGTGATGCAAGTAAAGCCGAAACGTAAATGTGTCATTCTCTAATTCCTAACATTTCTAATTGTTATGTAGTTCATCTCCATTTTAAATCATTCGTCTTCAACTCGAATAACAAGATCGTTTTTTTGTTATTTTTGTACTTACAGCTTTAACAACACGAGACGTTTGATTTAAAATCATACGATTGGTGGTAAATCAGCGCTCTTAGGTTTTGAAACTTTGAAAGATATAAGTATCAGTAGATAGTGCATTCTTTGACGCACTAAGGTAGCAGCAACAATATCGATAGTCGGGGTTATAATGCTGTTTTCTGTGAAACCACTTCTATAAACTTTTTACAAGAGAGTTATTATGAAGGTAAAAAAAGAAAAATCGTTTGAAGTATGTGAGTTTCAAATGTATGTCTGAGGTATTAAACAAATGAATCATTTTTTGTTTCAAAAGGGGGTTTGATATAAGATTTTGTTCTGTTTGGAAAACTATAGTTTTAAACTGGTTCATAGAAATACATCATTAAAGTTATTTGTTTTAAAACAATAACACTTTTGCAAGTCTAAAATCAAGGTGTAACGTCTAGAAATGTGTAGAAAATATTGTGATGGATTTGGTACGAACATTTTCTTGATTTTTCAGATGTAGGCATTGATTCTAGAGTATTTGAAACCTTCAGAAAGCTTTTTGAGCCACCACCTTTGAAAGCACAAACAAAAATTATTAGAGAACAATATGCATTTGTGTGATTCTAACAGCATAAACAAATTATACTGTAGGTGAGAACATGTTTACACCGTTTCTGCATTTTCAATGTATAATCTAATAATGTTAAGTGGTAATTTTAACGGCAATATGGAAAACGATGTTACTTGCCAGGCCAATTTATTGCATGATGAAAAGATGTGTTCAAAAAAAAAACGAAAGGTCATCAAAGGCGGTCTTTTGGTTATTTTGTTCCTGGCCAGCGAGACCTATTTCTGACATGCTCCGATATTGTACACATTCGCATACGTACGATTCGTCAAAGAGGCAATGTGCGAGCTGAAAATATTCTTGGGATCGCACTTACAGGTGATTATTACACGCTGTATTTTGCAACAATTCCTGGGAAAACGGCATTAGATAGTCTTATCTATCTTTTCACGGCTCTTGGCAGTTACTTCAGAATGTCATATGAAATAACAGATTGATTAATAATACCATGTGCACAGCTTACTTCCCTATCCGTAATAATTTGCTACTCCCTGTGCATGTGATAGAGGACCATTGTGTTTACTCACTTTGTGAAAATACTTCTACAAATTTAATATAGACTGTCAGCATTGTAGATGTACCTTCGGGCTTTACAATATTTTATATCGAAGATCAACTAAGGTATACCCAAATCGCGCGTTCATGATAAGCAAGTTGTCATACTGCTTAGATGTGAAAGACTCGCATGTTGACGATAAAATTTCCAAAGCGGTGAGTCAAAATTAAAAACCGTATGTCTTTGAGTTTACACAATCAAACGTTCGTGTATAAAGGCGATTGCAAATGGGTGAGGGAGAATGATGTATGAATGAAATTCCTGTAGCTTTATTGTGACCTGCCAAAAACCCTGAAATTACCTTTAATAGCGAAGTACATTTCAGCAAAGATCTTGTGTGGCCACTTTTACCCCATTTGGAGTTTTGCCGACATCTGTCACAACTGACTCATATCACCGCTCAGAAAAATGTAAATTTTATAAACATCATTCAGGCTCAGAAATAACGGTTTTCCTTCATACTCTTAGAATCCGTACGAATGTAGCATTGTGCACAAACGCGAATGGCCAAGAACACGAATCTTGGCCTGAGTACTCATCCAATGTCACTTTTTTGTTGTTTATATTTTTTGTCGTCGTCAATAGTAAGATATAGGAAAGCTAGGTGGATACATAATGATTCCAAAAAATTAATGGTATTTTAATCCCTTAGTACTATTACAGACAGCCTAACAAAATTGTAAAAGGAAATAATTAACTAAGTATCATGATCGTTCAAAGATGACTCATTGATTTTCGTATTTTCCCACATAATTTCATAATTTCAATAACCTCCCTTTTCACCACTGAAATAATATCATTAGTATAAAATAACTTCTCTCAAAAACCAAGGAAATAATGTTTTAATGCCATTCAAGATTTGTTTCTGATGATTATCTCCAGAACAAAACGGTGGATTTCAAAAGAAAATCGTCAAAAAGTGATGGCAATGCCTTCAACATATGAAAACCTCAGGTATTTCTTTAAATTGTGACCAAACTCAATCCCTATAGTAAACCTAACGGTACGAACATAGTGGAGCGACGAGGTTTCAGATTCAGATATCTGGTAGCGTCTAGAGCGTAGAGGCAAGAGGCACCTATGGTTATAGTAGAGCGTCGCGTTTTGTCGAAGATAGACGTAAAAATATGTATTCCGACAGTGACGATGACATTCTTCTCAATAATACTTACCTGCAAGTGCTTTTAATGACTGGAGTGCGGCAGTGTAGTGTGCACGACGTAAATAAAAGTCGGAAACGCCTAGGGGAATTCCATCATTTATTTCTAGAACTGAAAAATTATCCCGACAGGCTATTTGACTACATTCGAATGGAACTTGCCACCTTTCAGTATATATTAGAACAAGTTACACCCTGCATCAACAAGAAATGGACAAATTTTAATCAAGCGCCTATAGGAACCGAAGAAATGTTGGTGGTAACAATTCGGTAAGAGAATATTATGTATTAAGGATAATACTTTTATTATTCATAAACAAACAAACGGTAACGCAAAATAATATTCTGTCTTCTGAACACAACGAACGATAACTTATAATAACTTATAATGTTTACTGATCTGCGTAATTAAACCCCTGCAACAAATGGGATGAATGTGCAAACGATGTTTGTGGTTGAGATGTATATGTCGGGCTATGATTAACAGAATGACTGACATTGATGGTGGACTGATTGTTCGAGTACTCTTCATAGGCATACTTCTGAACCAAATTTTGAATTTCATTGCGGAACTGAAGTTTTCGATGAGGCCTAATTTTCACCACGTGGGGCAAAAGGCTATCAAAAAACAGTTTATCGTCATCTGTGACTGGTAGGGCTCTGCCACGGTCTGCAGCGACACGTTTCTCATCTAAATATTGTAGTTTTTTCTTCTCTATCTCAAGAAAAGCGTCAAGTTGATTTGACCGTTTTCGGGCCCTATTCTTTAGAATAGTTCGTGGTTCTTTTGGTGTGCTTTGAATTGGAGTGACTGATTCTGTGTGGTCGGGTTCTGTTTCCTGCGTTTCTACACCCTGCGTTTCGTCCATTTCGTCTTCGTCATAGTCACCATCATTTTCATCCATCTGCGTAGAGGGTGTCGAAACTTGTGTGTCATTGTCGGGATCCAACAGGTTGCTATGACTGGATCTCGGCAGAAACTGGTCTCTCAGAAACAATAAACTTTTGAAATGAGGCCAGGAGCTCTTTTTAAGAGCCTCTTCGCCTGGATCACCAGACCGGGGCAGAGGTATTTTCTTCAGTTCTTTTCTGAAATAATCACGTAGATTTTTCCACTTCTCAGAAACTTTCTTAACTGCAACAAACAAAAATTTTCAGATATCTTGCAACAGGAGCGTCCTTTAGACACTTGGCATTTTCCTTTCGAATGGGCAGGAGTACTGTTGCGAGCATTATAAAACATATGATTAAAATATTATGGAACATGCTGCAACCACTTCACATGCCAGAACCTACTACGGCAACATTTTTAAATGTAAGTGCAGACTTCATGAAAGTATGGAACTTCCCCAATTGCATCGGAGCTGTTGACGGCAAACACGTCAAAGTTATAGCACCACAACATTCCGGATCCATGTACTTCAATTATAAGCATTATTTTTCTATCGTCCTACAAGGAGTTTGCGACGCAAATTACAAATTGCTTGTGATAGATGTCGGAGGTTACGGCAAACAGAGCGATGGGGGAACGTTTCAGAGTTCCAATTTGTACAAACGGATACACCAAAACAAACTAAATGTGCCAAATCCAGATAGTTTACCAGGAACAAATGTCCGCGCTCCCTACGTATTTATTGCAGATGAAGCGTATCCACTAATGCCCAATTTGCTAAAACCATACAATCGAAGGAACCGCTCTTTGGAACATATAAATTTTAACCAAAGATTGTCCAGAGCACGCAAAACTATCGAGTGCACCTTTGGAATTATGTACGCGAAGTGGCGTCTTCTGTCCAAAGCTATAGAGACTACTGAAAAGACTGCGGATGATATCATTAAGGCGATATGCATTTTGCATAATACAATACTGGACCGAGAGGGATTTCAACGACATTTAACATTAGTAACTGATGCAGTTCCTAGAGATCAGATGTTTGAATTACCTAGAGGAAGGCAACTGGGTGAAGGTCAAAGAGTTCGCGACATTTTCTGTAACTATGTTAATTTCTTTCCAATCAGTTACGAGACAGCTTAAAATTTTACCGCAAGATGTAAGTTCTAGCTGTTGAAATGTGTATAAAATACAATTATTTACTTACCCGACTGATTATTGCATTCATTGGCTACCTCCTCCCATAACTTATCTAGCACGTATCGGTTGCGATGATCTGGATGACTCTGATCCCATATAGCCCTTCTGTGATATACACTATTTATTAATTGCACAACATCCATTATTAAATCGCTTGAAAACGCGTGACAAAAATTGAATGCAACTATTTAAAACTCGTCGCTCGAAACCTCCTAGAGACTCGACGCATGCCTTATCGCGCTACTATGGCCCGACAGGTTTCAACCTGTGTTTTTGACTCACATAGCGGCAAACCGCGCGGTTAGCCTCTATCTGAATCTGAAACCTCGTCGCTCCACTATGTTCGTACCCTTTTACTTAGCAGCCAGCCAACCATGGAGTCTCGTAGTAATTCTGATTAAACTTAGAGTACAACATTGTATCCATCTAATTTTCTTAAATGGATGTTAACTAACAGATATAAATATTCATGATGTGCTTTTTGCTAATTCTGAGTTTTAAGAGATCCTGTAGTAAGTACTTACTGCATCTTTTTCAAGAGTACTCTTGAATTTCATGATTGGTTTTTGTTTTCCAGATGAACTTTTTCAGGTTCTATTTCGAGTTAAAATTTGACTTAGCATATCAGTTCCTGTAATTTGTGCCTAGGAATTTTTGTCACCATTTATGGGATCACAGTGTATAATTGAGCATTCACCTGATTGCTAGAGGATCTCTTTTATATTAAAAAGCTGCAATTTGTGTTACCAGGCTGTATAAACACACAAGCTTTCCATATCAGCACTTCATTATATTTATATCAAATATAAATGTATAATAATGTGGAAGTTTATCAATTTTGATAAAGAATATTGTTGAAATGTTAATTATAGAATGAACATTAGCAAAGACTACAGAAGGGCCAAACAATTCAAAATTTTTCTGTAATATTATAATATTGAAAGCAATGGCGCCTTGTTGAAGATCCCTTTTAGGTTACCAAATCAAATTTTACATTATAATGAGATAAAAAAATGTATAAATAGTTTTTGCGTTTTCTCGACTCACGATGAGATATGTTACGTTTCTATAGATTGATTTCTAGATACTTAATACTGGCATTGATACACCGTCAAAGTGCGTTTCAAAATGCTCTTCCATGAACCGTCTTAGACGAATGGCTGCAGACGCTTTAGAGCACCTGAAACACTTGATTTGTATTTGAAGCAAACAGCCCTTGACGTAAAATGCTAAAATTCTGTCATTTTATGAATTGTCCGAATCATACAAATAAATCGTTTTTTCAATATTCGTGAAGTTGTTACAATGTCAATGTTAGCGATCTCTCGAGAAGTGCAATTTCAAGTCCATACTTTTTTGCAGAAAGTTTCAGTTTTGTTATTGGTAATATAAAAAGTCCCAGCTTCGCGCCATTGGTTTAAGTGTAATTTGGTCAGTGCATTTTTTGTGCTGTATTTGTAAATAATTATGATGCTTTCAAGATAACTACTCGTTAACTGTTTTTAGGATTTAAAAATTTTATTAAAAGTTCTAGTATGTATTATTACAATTAATCTGTGAAATATGTTCTATATTTTTGTATTTTCTCCGCTTTTCTTTAGTATAGGTATAGACTTATTATAAGTTCTAAAATGGTATCTCACGGATTGGACTAACAGAAATACTTTCGCTCTTGTAGTCTTTTTGTTAATAGATATATTTCAGATTGGCTTTTTAGTGTGCAGCAGAATTTTATTTGGTGAAGATGTTAGTTCAATCCGAAAAGTGGATAAAAAGATAATTGTGACCCACAGTGTGTATTTTGTAAATACTAAATAGCTAAATTAAGATTTATAGAATAAACATAAACCGGATTGAATTTCATTATTTAAAAAACCCGTAGTCTGACAGTAAAAAATGTGTCGGACAGATAACGTTCATTCAAGATACCTTCTTTATCATCTCGTCTTTCTGGAGTATAAGAGAAAAGTCGGCCATATAAAAAATGGTTCAAACTTGTCATCTTGGCAAAAATATTTATGAGAAGCTAAGTGCTCTTTCACACGACAAAAGCAAGGACGGCGTACAGGGCCGCATTCAGGGCTACCTCCGAATGATGGACTACCACCAACGTGTTGTAAAACAAAGATGACAGTATTTAATGAAATTATCTAATACAGTGAAGTAGTTATAGTTAAGGGTGTCGAAAAATCAAATTTATTCTTCACGGGGTGCTAAGTTTTTCTACAGATTTTTCAAACTAGACAACATGGAGAAATACATACCAGAGGTAACCAGCGCTCACTATGCACAATGAATCCGTAGTCAACGAGGGGTAGAGATGACACTTTTGTACATGGAATAAATATAAGGGTGTTCAATCAATTGAAAATAGATTTTGAAGGTGCATTGTCTGTAGTTTATCTGTAAGTTAATATTTCACTATATCTAGGATTCCCATAATATGTATTCTGTGACAAAACAAAAACGGGAAACTTACTCAGACTCACTTGAAGAGCTATCGTCATTAATGTTTATGAAGAACATGCTGCACACATTTTTGCCATCTTTCTGGTGCGACCCTCTGTATAGCAATTCTGAACAGCTCTTGCATGTCAGAAAATTTAAATGCTGTATTGTGTGCAGCAACAAAATTCTTAACATCTGCCCATATGAGCTCAATGGGGTTGAGCTCACAGTGGTTCTGTTTTGTGGTGTGCTTTGGCCATTTCATCTATGACATATTTATCATGTCTTGGTCTGTGTTGTTTCACAATATCTAATAGTTGTAATTTCAGTAAGGAAGGGTCGAAAGTTATATTTTTGGAACGGAGCCAGCTCTGAATGTCTGATTTCCTAGAAGCTGAAGTTGGGATTTTTTCTATTTTGCGAGAATGATAGGGAGCATTAGCCAAAACAACCACAGAATTGTCTTCGAGACGTGGTAAAATGCCTGAAAAACACTTCTCGAATGCTTCCCCATTCATCTCTTCATGGTAGTCTTTTTTTTACTCAAAAGACCATAAGCCGTCATCCACGAAGCCATCTACACCCCCAATGTGGCAAATAATGAGCCTTTTTCCTTTGACTAGAAAGATAAGATCCGCTAAGTACACATGCACGTCTTGTAGGTACGAAGATAGAGAGATATTGTGCGCAAAAATTGATACCGTGAACTACTTCGATCTATTTACCTGCTGGATTTTTCAATCCGGTCGACAGTCCATCTAGAAATTCCCTTCTGGATGAAGTCACAGTTTTGTCAACCCATACCTTCAGAGTAGTGTGACCTGCGTTAATCCAGGTTTCGTCCAGGTAATAGATCTTCCTGTGCTAATCCCTGAATGATTTAATTTTGGTCGGGTACTCTCTCCTCCACAGAACAATTTCTTCTCTATCCATAAGTAAGCTGTTACGATCTCGTTTCTTCCATTCGAAATTAAGATGCTTCAAAAGTTTATGAATAGTCGAACGTTTGAAATTTCCTCGATTCCTCGTTAACCTCCCGTAGTACTTTATCAACTGTCGGTATTTCGTTTCTGAAGAAGAACTCTTGCACTTTCCTACGAATCGCATGCTTGTCAGCGTCATCCAACGATCTTATGCTACTTTTGCGATTTTTACCCGTCATTGGCTTGGAAAAGGCATGCTTTTTCTTATGTTCGTTCAAAACATTATACACTGTGCTTGGCATACCCCAATTTTATCTGCCACTTTCAGAGCTATTTTCGGGTTAGTTGATGTTTCGTCTTCCTTCCGCTCTATCTTGAATGTATTCAATATGACGTCTTTCATGTCTACGCTAAGATGTCTTTTTTATCGCTTTCTATGATTGGTTTAAAACAAATAATAACGAGGAATAACAATAGCAAACAGAAACTTAACAAATTACTCAAATACGCTTAACAACAGCAACAACCAAGCAAGGTGAATACGAAAACACAAGCACGCAGTGATACACGCGACGGTCGGTGGCCTGAATGCAACTCTGCCTGCCCTGCCCCTGCCCCGCGCATTATTCCGCCAGGCGACCGCTTGAAATTTAATGGCGAATTGACCAATAAGAGGCGTTGTCCCCACCTGTTACCAAGAGATCACGCGCTAACTGTTATTATTTACATCTCATCTTTAATTTGGATTCAGTTTAGATGTTGGAGCGTGCCAGTGTGGCCAACCATTTAGCGCGTCGCACCGCTACTGCTGGTCGAAAATTCCGCTACGTGCTACTAAGAATCCGCTACACTCTGATTTTTTCCTGATAGTTAGCGCTGACGCAAAATGTAACAAGTCAGGACGTATTGATTTCATCACCATCGGTGGAAATCCAATATAATTTTAACATAACTAAGGCTGAAAAGATAGTGGAGCGGCGAGCAAACAGCGCGATATCGTGCCGAAACCTAACGCGTAAAATCAAATGCAAACGTACATAGTAACAAGACGAGTGCGAGCGAGTTTATCGAGCGGCGATATCAACTCAAAATATTTTGTTTTCGTCACTTTGCCGCTCTGCAATTTTAGAGATGTATTGTCAAATACTGATCGATTTTGTCTTTGTGAGGTTCAGTTTATGGGATCAAAAAGACCAAAACCACCAGAATCGGTATATGTTGGATAAATTGTGGGATGAGGTGGCAAAAGAAATAAATTGTACACGTAACTATATTTTAAAACTAAGTTCGAAAATCTCAGTTAAGTAAATATGTTTGTTTTATAACTACTACATATCTAAAAATATTCCTATCAGTGATTTTGTTTTTATTTTAAAACAACGTAAATAAACCTGTTACTTACCTTAATGTTATAATAATTAAACGTTCTTCTGGTCCTATTGGAGTTAGATTAAAATTGGTCCAATTTTCTGTTAATTTATACCTGACTAAATTTAATAATCATATAATCGAGTGTTCCAATTTAAATTCTTGTGTACTGGTAAAATTTTTTAGGATGCTGTCGCAATTTTGTATGGAATTCACCATATTCTCGCAAGCATTTAAAAATTTCGTAAATACTACTGGAATGGCGTGTTTGTAACAAATGCCAACACCATAAGTTAGATGTATTATTACCCAAAACTTGTGATGCCCTTAACATAATTAGAAAATGCTTTGATTATACTCGCATTAAACCACCCTCATCGCGTCTTACTATGTCGCAACGCGAAGCTAAACCGGCGCGATGTCGCGCTGTTTGCTCGTCGATCCATTATATTTTCAGCCTAAGTCGCATCAAAAAATTGAAATACGTATATATATTTCTAATCAAAAAGAAAACAAAATATTGAATTAAATATTCGAACAGACCTCCTTCGTTGACAGTAACCTAACCTATTGTAGAAGCCTGTCAGCTTCTATCTCTTTACACACTTATCGCGCTTCTCTCTCGAATACATTAAACTCAAGCCGTCAGACAAATTTGGTTTTCCCTGTATAGTGACATCACTAAAACATTTGACTGTCTTGACCATGCTGTGCTTTTGAATAAATTGCGATGCTTTGGTTTTATGACCAATTGCTCTTCTTTGCGTCGTATCTTACCAACATATATTAATACTTGTCTTATAATGGCACTAAAGTTGAACATATAGTTGGCAAGCGCTGGTGTGCTACAGGGATCCGTACTGGGGCCTTTACTTATTCTCTTATTCAAAGATGACGTTTCCGAGAAGTTGAGTGTAAGTTGTCTGCTTTAAGCTGATGATGCCAAATTCCTGAGTAAGAGTGTCAGCAGAACAAACTGAACTTAAATAGTGACTAGTGTTTTCTCATCTATAATATAACCGAGATACTGGTATAATGAATATGAAATTAATGTCAGGTTTACTAGGCTCTCGCAAATAAAATATCTTTTTAGTTATTACATTACTTCTTCTTGAGTATTTTCCACTCACTGTGTTATTACATAATTATATAGAAAACTAAAACTGAAAAATTCAAAATTGTATAAATAATTAATAATATTTGTTATACACATGATTTTTCAGAGTAAGAAATTACATACTTCATACACCGCCAATGCCTTCTATGGATTTTTTATATTTATTAAAAATATTTTGAATGTTGGCGAATAAATATTATTATTAGTCTTCAATTCGTTATCTGTTCGTTATGTGCGTTCATCATTTCATCCTGTCTGTTGGATGTTGTATAAATAAATAAAAATCAGATCTACGCGCCATTTTGGTCTTGGGAACTAGGCGGAAAAAATATGACTGGATGTTGTTTGTGATAGATGAATTTATTGGTCAAATAGAACACTTAGGTATGAATAATTATTTGCTATATTACACCTAATGGCTCAAATTAAATTATCTCTGTTCCACTGTCTATTCTAATTTATAAGCATATACATTTAAATAGTTTCTAGTTTCAACAGTAGCAGAAAATGACAGAATAAATGACTAAATTTATTATGTTGCAATAAGCCTCAAGGTCATGAAATTTACTGCCAACGTATTTCTGCTAGAAAGCCAGGAAATACTGATTTCAATTATCACATCCTGATTATAATAAATTTGATACTCATGAAATTGAAAAGTCTCAACCAATACCAGAAATAAGCAATATTCTAGATTATATACATTTATACATTTCAATGTATCAAAAATAGGAGAATGGACAGTGGACAAGATTTTTTTAAAGTCTATTCAGTCAATAAACAATAAATTGTTCATAATATTGAGCACCATTTTTTATCACATGTAGTATAAATGCGCCTGTTCAAAATTTTTAGACTCACTGTTAAAACGGGCATGTCCTGAATGTTTTGCGATAAAACAACGAACTGACCATCAAATTGACGTAACAAACTGCATTGACAATATCCAATTGTAGATCATTTCTACAAGAAATGTATCTGAATATTTTGAACAAACTTTACATACAAAATATTTAAGTAAGGTAATATTAGTTCTTAAATGGCAGCAATGGCACTAAAAGTTGCATGCTCTATACAGCTAATGAAAAAGCTAATTTCAAAAGTGAGGAATGAGTTTAATAGTATTGGAGGGATCAGAAAATGTCAAACATATGTCCAGAATAACAGGGACAACCGGGTTTCGATAATCCGGACCAAATTATCAATCTACAAACCGTATTTTAAATATATCAATTTAGGTACCTTCTGAAATATCCATACGTGACCCAAATTCCTTTAGTTCATGTGGACAAAAGTATAATAATTGGGTTTTCAGATTATTAAAGCTCTGACGTAATTCTAAATGGATCAGAGATTTATTCTTAAGTAATAATTTCGAAAATTGAAAATATTCATAACCATCATCATTTAGAATATTGCATTAACAGGTTTACTTTCCAAATACAAATAAAAGAATCTGATAAAGTGACCGGAATTATGCGAGTTTATTTACATATATATATATATATATATATATATATATATATATACGTATATATATATAAAGACGTAGGAAAAACTTGTGTTCGATGGGTCGGGCATAAACACGTTTCTGGAAACATCATTGCTCTGGGCTAACTAGATTCATTATAATCAAAAAATAGTTACTGAATACTGTTAATTTGGTTTAGTCCAGGAAGTATTTCCGCACATACTCGGAAAAATATTCTAATTCGTTCTTTTTTCAAAATATTTGTTCAGTTCATACAGAATGTTTGTATCGAATCTCCCTGTATAGACCGCGTGAGAATGGCTATTTTCAAGGCCCTGTCGGTATTCCACCGGAGAGTGAACTTCGCTAAAACCATTTCTTATTATGTTCCTGGCCGTTAGTATAGCTCGTGAAAAATAGTATACAGTGTGTAAACAATATTTTGACTCCTCCTATAATTAATTTTTATAAAATACTGTATAATTCTGAATGGACTAAGATTTGAAACTAGGCGCCATAAATAACTTCTGTTGGGTTCAAGAAGAGTTAAACAATGACACACTACACGTAGCTTTTGGAGGCGGGTCCTAAAATTTGCATCATCCTTTTTTAAACAAATTCTGAAAATTATTTTTTCCGCTCCAGGGAAAGTTTAATTTTTTTAGAGGAATTCTGAGGAACAAAAAATGTTCTTATGAACATTTCTCTAATTGGTAGTTTCCGAGATATATCATTTTCGGTCCGAAAACAATATGAAAGGCGAAATTTTTAACGTTTCCAAAGTTCCTAAATACTGTTCAAACATCCACTAATCGAATCCCAAAGCAATTAGGGAGTATTGTTATTGTAGGCCTTGATTTATTAATTGCTAATCCAGCGCGCACTGACGCAGAACATACATTGAGCTCGCGCTTGATTTAGAATTAAAGGACATGGGTTAACAATAACAATACCCCCACAAAATTTGTCGGGGGCTAAAAAAAAGGAATGCTTAAGTAATGTTTAAACAATTTTTTGACTGGCAACATACAGATTCTTCAAAACGGTCATTTTTGAAAAATATTATGCAAAAAATACATACAGATTTTTCCGCGCAGATGCGAAGATACTTCCTGAATTATTTTTATTACCTTGACGGGGGACGGGTATGATAAAAACTACGTGCGTATATGGCACTTGCATGTCATGTCTCGAACACATATCGTCGGTGATACTGCAATGCTACTTCACAAACCGTGGTTAAAACTGCGTGAGTTGGTAGTAATCAGTTTTTTAGGAGAGTGAACAAACTAGATATGTTTTATCATTACGTCTTTTGCTGACTGAATTGTTGTTTTGCCTATCAAGGACTCATAAGCGCCTGCTTACAATTTTTATTTCTTCGTACTTATGCGATTTGAGCCACTTGATTACGTGGTGTTGCAGTATCGCCAACGAAATATAAAGATAGCTATTTAGGTAACCTCTCTAGCTAGTAGCTTTATACTTTGCAGTGCTCCTTGAAGATCAGTGTCTTGTCAATATGCCCGTCAAATGTCATTTCGATCAAATTATTCACTAACCTACCAGATATCAAAGCTTCCGGTGGACTGATTCAAAACTCCCAAAATACTCTTTGGATCCGGAGACAACGAACTCCAGTCCGTACCGATGCAAACATCTAATTTTGCGCTGCAAGCATCAGTCAAGTCTCTTGTTCTCGCGCAGGCCTTTTCTGTTTGGAAAAATTCGAGATACAACCTATCCACCCATTTTGCTAAAGCGACGCCTCGTTTTTGAACATTTTCGTTACTTTGTAGTTCTAAATTGAGGCGTTCCGAATCAGTAGGCATAACTTTCTGATAGGAACCTTTCATTTCTTTGTTGGGTTTTGAACCACCATTTACTATTTCTGCCTGATGATCTTTGATGGAAAGTCCCAGGTAGTATTCAAGAGGAATGATGGGGAACCTCACCGTAGCCAAAAGATTATTCTTGTGGACCAGCTTCACTTTCCATACTCCTAAAAATTATTAGTTGTCAATCTAAAAATCTAACCTCGTTTTACGTGATTGATGGCAATTTCAAAACGTCATAAAAAATCCGCCAACTTGCTGTGAAGGCCACCTATGGAGGAATGGCACAACGATCTATAGTATAGAATCTACAACTTAAGCCATAGAAGCTATAAATGGCCTCAGCTAGTGCCATCTCTGAAGCAGATGTTACATCATATCAGAGCAAAACCATATCGCTCAAATGTCATGACGCTTAGGCAACACGCAAAGCTAGTAAAGGGTGTCACAATAAGAGCGCCGGATTTGATTTTCAAGAAAACATAATTTCTTTTCCAATTAAGCGAATATTTATATTTCAACATGAAGAGGAATAGTTGTAATTAAACATGAAATAGGAATTTCGGTAAATGGCCACCACGAAACCTCTGGCACAGGATCAGTGGCTCTATTTCGTCGATAACGCCCCATATCTCTTCTTTAAGGCGTTCAACTGTTTGTGACTTGTTTGCATACACCTTTTCCTTCACATAGCCCCAGAGGAAGAGAAGAGAGAGATGAAACGGTCTGGCAACTTGGTCCGCAGTAACACCATTGTTTCGCGTGCTGTGTGACAGATCGCACCGTCTTGTTGAAGGAACATATCATCCGCATCAATTCGATCCAGCTGGGGCCACAACAACTCGGTTAACATTTCGCGATACCGCACACCATTACCAGTTACCGCAGTTCCAGCTGCATTTTCCAGGAAATCACTCCGCCACTCCACAATGTGCACCAAACGGTAACTCGCGACGGATGCATTGGTTGTTGGGTTATTATACGAAGGTTTTCAGAACCTCAAATTCGGTAGTTCTGCTTACTTACGTACCCGCCGTTCAGTTGAAAATGTGCCTTATGAGATAAAATGATTTTCTTCGAGTAATCCGCATCAATGCGGTGGTGCTCCAGCGCCCAATCAACGAATTCACGACGCTACGCGTGGTCCATTGACTTGAGTTCTTGCATCAGTTGAACCTTCTACGCATGCAAGCACAGATCTTTTGTCAAATTTCGTTGCAGAGTGCATCTGGTAAGGTTCAATTCTTGGTCACGATGCCGAATGGACGTGCCTGGATTCGGCCACATTTTCCCGCACTGCGACTATAGTTTCGAGGAACCGACCAGGACGACAACGAAAAGCGGTCTTCACATTCAGCAACATAAATTTTGTAATTGGCGATCTGTCGACTCATTTGGCGCATTATTGTGACCGAAAATTGTACGTAATTCGCGAACTGTTTCATCGTAATTTTCTCCATTTTTGGAGTGAGTTCTCACAATCAAACGTTGCTCGTTTGAATACTGCTCCATGACGCCTAATCGCGTGGTCAGGACATGACAGCTGTCATCAAGTAAACACCATACCATTTGTACAAAAAAAATGGCGGCAAGTTCAAATCCGGCGGTCTTGTTGAGTGAACATGAGATGAATTACAGCCAGTTCTAAAAAATCTACATAATGTCATCAAAAATTGATATAATGTCAGTTTTTAAGTTACGTAATACAGGTGCCGAATTTTTTAACTCACCTGGCAAAATCGGTTGTTTCAACACAGGCCTCGCGTGTCCAATTTGCGTAGTTTCGTCCACGAAAAACTCGACTGCATCATACAGCTGACCAGAAGGACTTATCCACAAACTAGTTATGTTGTATCCCTTCGTAGTATGTTGCATATTGAAATTATATACTAATAGTGGCTCCGAATAAGGCGACAACGACCTCAAAAAGTTCCTCGATATCTGTTCTTTCTGATCATATTCGCTACTGACCGTCAACGACTCAATATGAGCCACTAAGTTCGACGATTTATTAACACTGATCTTACTCAGCGGCCGAACAGCTATTTCTATGATATTCTTTTTCTTATCCATAAATTTGAACAAAGTGTACTTATAGCTATCATTATAGTGATATGAGTGCACTTCCAGTAATTTACTTAATCCTAAATCACAACTTGAATTCACATTAGGCAACGAATTTGCTACATGACGTTTGATGCTATTGCTCAAAGTGAAGATACCGTCATCTGCTACGACTCCAAGGTCGTTGTTATGGTAGATACTCTGCCAGTAACCATGCATGTTCCTCACTTCCCTGGACGGTTCTTCTAGATCATGCAACCATAGCTCCAGCTTCAGTATGATCGCTTGGTTGATGATAGGCTCAAACTTTCTAGCGAAATAAAGCTGTCTAGTGAGAGTATTGAGAATGCGTGGCCAATCCTCGAGCCTAAAATCGTTTGGACTGCAACCACACCAGTCAACAACATGTTTGTACTGACATTTGCAGCCGAGTTTTCGTTTCCAATTGGTCACATGGAGGTTGTTGTCTATGTAAGTGTCACAGAACATTGAATTGCGAAGGGCTGTGTGGAAGAAAGACTCGGCGGGTAATAGGGTGTGTTTGAAAATCTTCAGAAGACCGGAGATCAGATCGTCTGGTTCTGGATTCGAGACGTATTCCACGAATTTTCTTGAAAGGGCGATCCAGTCGCTTCCACCGTCGACCTGTAATAACAACATATATGTTTAGATATCAAAAAATAAAAAGCCTGGGAAAATGTTTTCATAAAAACAGATTTTCTATCGGCTTCTTAATCAGTATGGAGCCGTATGCATATGCGCACATTACAGCGATTCAGTATCCGCCGATAAAAAAGTTTGATAGTCTTTCCGATTCCCTTCAAACTAATCTGTCAGCCACCTATCGGCCGACTGTTTAATCAGAGTTGGCTAACTTCGCTCACACGACGATTGTTTAGTCGGCCTATAGTTCAGTTCGCTCCGAGCTTTGTCGTCAGACAATCGTGTTTTTTTCGGGTAATCAAGTAATTTGGAATTCATTGTGTAAAATGTTCCACTAACTAATCTATCACTGGGAATGGGATGCATCCAATATTCTCGGAATGTCTTCTTTTGATTTTCCTTCTCCGTTGTATGACAGCAATAATAATATTTAGAACAATATTGGATTTTTTCTGTGACGGGAAAAAAGTTTGACATTCTATCGCTGTTGACAGGTAACAAAATGTCACTTTTTATGAAATAACTTTTTCCCCAGGGAAAAAATGACTACTTTTTTCCCGAATACTGTATAAACGATTTAGCTGGCAACAATTTTTGTGACGCTACTTTAGCTACTTCTACTAATTCCGGTGGAGTCAAAGAAAACTCGAAATCAGACATTTTTTACTTTATAGTATTAAAATTACTTCTAAACAACCGCTAAGTTCACAATTTTTAAATCAAATCACAAAATTAAATTGACAGCTATTTGATTACTTTAAAAGTTTCCTTAGCAACGCAGGACTAATAACTACAACATAGCCTAGTAAATTCAAAATTCAAATTTTACATCGATAATTTTCTGACTTGAATATTGTAATAATATAATTTTTCAATATTAAATCGTCGTTTTTCCCGTCACAGAAAAAAAATGTGTATTATACATGGGAAATATACTAGATTTTAGCTTTCGGTTTTTTGTCTAAAATATAGTACTTTTTCGCTTTTATAATAAATTTGAAAAATACATTATTATTATTCAATATTTATTTGATGTCTTCTTCGGGCTACAAAATGCGAAAAATAAATTTCGTCTAAATACAAAAATACTAAATAAAGCTATATGTTTAGGTTCATCCAGTTATTTCGTTGAATTTTTATCAGATAAATAAGTATTTGGTTTTGTCGCACAACCGGTTCTTTCTGGTTCCTCATATTCTAATGTCTGCTTTATCTGTGAGCGCCACTATTCCCTTTTGAGATTCGAAAGTATCAAAAACTGATGACAGGAAATGAAGTTCTTCTTATTAAAGCTGCTAATGCCTTCTAGAGTAAGAAGATGGGATGAAATAAGGCAGTGAAAAGAAAAAGAAGTGTATATCTGCGATTTTTGACGCTGAACATTTAAAAACTATGTAGTATCTGTTTTAAATATATTCTATATACTTACTTAAGAATAAAATCACATTGGTTGACAATGTTTACTACAATTCCGGTATTAGCACTAATTTTTCAAGTCAAGAGTATGCAATCGTTTCCAAAAATGTATGAATGTGTAAAGTAGATGTGGCATATCTGTCAGCTGTCTGGTTTTGGGCATTATGATAAGGAAATCTCATAGTTTCTGATTAGTCGTAGCAAAGTAATTAACAAAAGGTGGTGTCAAATTTACTCTGAAACATCCACGCAATGGCGCTATTTTAAAAATTTGTTAATTCAATTTTAGAGCTATTCTACCTTGCTGACAATGAAACATATAAATCCAAGGATTTTTTTGTATACTGAAGTAGTCGAAGGAAATCAGAGACAATCCATGGAAATCCAGTGCAATTTATGTGTTACCTTTTTGTCGCCATTATAGCCCAAGGCTGTTTGCTAATTCTACCTATTTTTCAATAGATTTTACAATTTTATCTGATAGGGATACAAAAAAGTCCAAAGTATCAAAGCAAATCGGATCAGATACAAAGATTTCCCAGACGATCTATTATAATAATCTCCCAGAAGGGTAAAAAAATGTTAACATTCCAGAAAGGATTTAGTGGTAAGCTTCATATTCAGGCTATAAAGTAACACTTCTTACGATTCCACAGCATCTCGTCCGCACCGGGAGTACCAATTGGGAAGATTACGCGATTACAAAATCCCCTACCGATTCTCGTAAAGCTACAAAAGTTACCTAAATTACGCGATTTTCTTGATCAATAGGGGTAAGAGATGCTTTATCAAAATACTGTATTTTGAAAAATAGTGAAAACTACGGAAAATCAGAAATTCTTCAACAAGCAAAGAGTAATTATATAAAGAAAATACAGACAAGCAAATAAAATCAGAGAGAGAGAGAGTGTTGCCAGACTAATAATCCTTGATTGATGAATTCATTGGCCATCACTTGTAAATACTTTTTTCTAGAAGTTTCCTTTCTTTTGGATTTTTCTTCATGGTGGGGGTATTTATCATCTGTTTGCAGCTTACGAAATATATTTTTCATTCAATAAAGTTAGAAATCACACATTTTGAGCTTTTGAAGCGGCTTAGCATGAGACTACGTAAGACGCGACTAGTTGGTATCGTATCGAATCAGTACGCGATGATGTAAAAAAAAATTGCAGCTTCTCTACTATAATGCAGAAGACTCCCAAGGCCAATGGGGCCGACTGACAGATTGTAAAAACAGCCCATGTAGTATCTTTTCTTGATATTACTACTCGTTGCCACAACTACGACGACCCCAAAAGTTGGAGGTGGAAATATTCGAGATCCTGGCTATTTTGGAAGACTTTTTAACAACTTTAAAATTCCAATTGTCAAACCGTAACTTACCTGTATCCCGAACGGCAACATTCTATCCCCAATCCTCCACATCCTTGTCTCGCACTCGACAAACGTCTTGTCCAAGCCCTGCTTCTGGATGAAGCGCTGTACTTCACGACCATGCGACTTCACAAAGTTCCTGTCCCTATTCAATGCTAGAAATTCCGTCAGTTGGCCCACTTTCTTCACGGGAAGGTCCGACTCGCTGATGTTAAGGACAAAATCCCAGCTCCAGTCTTCTCTATTCAACAGCTCCCACATGCATGATCTCAGCATTTCTAGAAGGGAGGCTCCACCCCAGATAGTGGCAAATCTCTTGCGGGTCAGACGGACGTTTGGCAAGGATTTTTCCAATGGTAGTAGTTCGCGGTACAGGTAATCTTGTCTCTGAAATTAAGGTTAGGTTTAATATAGGAAACACATGTAGTGTATACAAACTAGAGGTCAACCAGTATAGATTTTTTGGCAATACCAATGTATCAAAGGCAGTTTTATCATTGCTATCATCCTAATATTCAATATTGTATATAATTTGAGGGGGACCAGATGTAAACCACAACCAAATGCTTTATATCGACCACAATCACCACAATCTAACTAATTTTTATAATGTAATCTAAAACGTTTTTAAATTGGGTTATTAACAAATAAATGGCATTAAGTTTTTCTAAGTTAAGCCAAAATTTGTAGTCAGTATGTAAGTTTCATTAAATTAAATATTTAAAACACACATGACAACAGCGCGCCGGTCTTTCATCAACCTTATCGAACCGGCAATCGATCGCAAACGGTAACAGTGGTTAGTTATCGTTTTGCATAGATAAATTACTTTATCGTTTTGTCGAGCAGAGCATCGGGCGTGTTGTTTTGTTTTTGTTCGCGTACGTCGTCGTGTTTATTTACAATGTTCTCGAATCAATAGTTCTCCGACATGTTGTTAGTTTACGGTGAAGCTCGTCAGAATTCAAATCCTGCAGCTCAAATGTATCGCGACAGATTTCGACAACGGGTACACCCAGACAGAAGGACATTTGTGCAAGTGTACCAAAGACTTTGAGATACAGAAAGTGTTCAGCCCACTAATATTCCCACTCGTGAAAGGCAGGTTACTGTAGAGCAGGAGGAACAAATTTTAAATATCGTGGAAATCAATGCAGATATCAGCACTCGGGAATTAGGCCGCCGCGTAGGACTATCGCATACCATAGTCCATAGAATCCTACAGGAAAATTTGCTTTATCCCTACCATGTACGACGAGTGCAGGCCTTGTTACAAGAAGACTATCCTCGCAGACTAACATTCTGTCAGTGGTTTTTGCACAAAAACATTGAAAATCCGGAATTTTTTAAAAACATTCTAGCGACGGACGAATGTACTTTTACGCGAGACGAGATATTAAATTTCCATAATACTCACACGTGGTCCCAAGACAATCCTCATACCATTGGTGAAGGTAATTTCGAACAAAACTTTAAAATAAATATTTGGGCGGGTATTCTTGACAATCAGGTAATTGGCCCTTTCGAGTTAGCCCCAAAGTTGTCAGGAGAAGGACACCTTAGCTTTCTAGCCAATAACCTACCAGAACTTTTAGAACAGACCTTAAACAACATGCCATTACAATGGAGACAGAATTTGTGGTTTCTTCATGATGGGGCACCACCACACATTTTTAGAGGCGTCATTCAGTATTTGAATGAACACTATCCAAATTGCTAGATTGGTCGAAATGCTCCTGATCCTCGAAAATGGCCAGCCGGATCTGACCTCAATCCAATGGATTTCTGGTATTGGGGAGAACTTAAATGGATGGTTTATGGGGCGGATCCAATAACAACTGAAGCACAACTTCGCGGAAACATTTTTTTAAGCGGCTGAAATAATAAATGGACAACTACGAGGACCTAAGAATAAGAAGAAACTGGGTTCATCGTAATGAAGCTTGTGTAGAAAGTGGAGGACATGTTGAACACCTTCTTTAGATACAAAAAAGTGTAGTGTAGGTTTTAAAAAGAAAAACAATGTATGCATCACAATTGTGTTCCCTATTTATAAGTGTATTTTTTTAACGTTCAATAAACTTTCACACACCTCATGAAGCGCTGAGACAGTTAGTGGTGAGTCCGTTTTTTTAATTGTTTGCATTTTACGAGCACATTATCAAATAATGAAATAATACCTAAGAGCCAAAAACAACAAACTCAATCTTTATTTACACTGCATTCCGTCGTAATTTGCGTCTGGCATTGCAGCATTGTCAGATTTTATTTTACTTTAAATTCGCTTTTCTCTAAAAAAATGCCGTTTTGACCCCCCTGTTATATGAAACTTTTTGTTTCTTTTAACTGGTTCTATCACCCATTTAAATTATGATGATCGTAACGTTTACACCCTGTATCTATATATGTATGTACTCACCACATCTACATGAATATAATAATAATGATTCTTATTATATAGAAGCTTCAACAATCTCCTCACTTGCCTCACTGCTCGACCATTCAATGTGAGCAAGAACACAATTTTAACAGGTTTTACTGTTACATTATTAACTTCTGTATTTGCAATTTGTGCCACGAATTCTAAAAGTGAATTTATTTTAAAAATAAATATCTAATAAAATCTATATTATACTTACTGCTTATTCCAGTTTGGAATATATTTATTGCATAATATCCACCACATGTAGAATGTGGATCACCTGGGCATTTTGAATTGCATGAAGAGTCTGGGATTTTTGAGCTCAAAGGTGGTATCTCAGTACCACAAAAACACTCATTTCTATAAAAAAATGCACAATAATCTTTTTGATTACATAACATACTACAGAGTACACATACTGTGAAATATTTAAATTGATATACTAAATACTAAAATCTATACCTTAAACAACTTGATGTTGGCAGATAAGACATATATTTAAAATCTTTATTTACTGATTTTTTCAAGTTGTAGTACATTAAGCTATAATTTGATATGCCTTGATCCATTTTAATTATAAATAAAATTTCATAAGATCAGGTTATTTGTATCCAAGATTTCAGATTATTTATTAGAGAATTCTAACAAAAACTTTGGTTTTTTATTTATCACAATCATACTTACGAATACTCTACTCCTGCATAAGGAAAACCTGATTGTAAACACAGCTTTATGCAATAATGTGGGGAGTTGCTCTTTTTATTAATACCAAAATATCCACTAAGCAATCTGAAATTCTTTTCATCTTTAAAGCAACCTAGTTCTTTGCCAGTTATGTGTCCTTTTGAAGGACAAGTTCCTTTCAATTCTTTTGGGTATAATTTACCCTCGCTAGAAAGACATGTAATGTTTGATATGAGCTGTTTACAATACTGAGTTTTTGCACGGTTTATAGCTGAAACAGCATCTTTTGTGGAGATCTTGCAAGGTGGTGTAAAGTTTAGATCATCATAGTGCAATGAATAAGTTTGATTAGCTTTAGCTTTTTTATTTTTTTGTGAAACTACAGCTTCCTCTTCATCTACAGATTCTGGTTTAATCTTCCCAGCTGAATTAGATTCAATATCCTGTTCAATATCATTTTCAAAACTCCACTGCTCCCATTTGACTTCCTGGGTTTCAACATTTTTGTTTAAAGCAAAAAACCTCATGGCAAGGTATATTTGACTGCATAAAATTACAATGCCGATGACGAAGAATGATCTATATCTTCGCATCCATTTGTTGTTTTTAGGGCTACCTTTTACCATTTCAACTTGCACTGGTAAACATTTCTAGCTCATATCAGGAATATCCAAGCACGTAGGGGGGAACTGGTATAGATTTAATTTTATGCATCTTTGTCCTATCTAAAATTTGTGAATTCACTGCTTAATCGCTGATATGATTTATAAATATGAGGAGCAACAATTCCAATTGCATTTCACCAAACACTCAAAAAATCAACAAATCACAAAATTCACAAATCATTTCCTGTCAGTTTGACAATACACGACACAACAGCAAATGTTCGCTTTTCGATACGGAACGAGTCTGGCATTAATATAGTAAAGTCATTATAAGAATGTTTCAATTGAAGCGTGGAATTCCCAAAGGGTCTAAGTGCCAATATTTCTGAATTTCATATTTTTCCTCCAAAAGGATCTACATGCTTTAATGCATGCATTAGAAAAGGGTCCAAGTACATATCCGACGAAAATGTATTTAATCTCCCCATTTGATAGATGGGGTTCTCGTACTCGGTCGTGACTTGTTCATTGAGAAGGGTCTAAGCGCCGAGTACAGGCGTAATATTATTACGTGCATTTAATAATAAACAATGAGTGAAAATCAAGTAAACAACCCAAAGCGACGTGCCCCAGGGTCTGAAAATAAAAAGAATGAAATGAAACGACTGAAATATAGTGGCCTGGCATATCACAATCGAAGTAACAAGAATATTGCTGCTAAGAAGGTGCCAAGTTTTGAGGTTAGTTGTGTTTATTTCTATTGTTTTAGTCAACAAAAGTAAATAAGTTTGTTTTATTCCAGGTATTTTGTAAATGTAAATATGAGTGCAGAAAATTGCCCTATGAGCAAAAAATATTTTTATTTGAAGATTATTATAAAATAGCTAATCATGTGAAGCAAAAATCTTATCTGTTGGGACTCATATAAATTGGCAGTGTAAAAAGAAGTCACGGAAAATATGAATCTGCAGAACAAAGTCGTCGACAAGCTACTGCATGGTACACGGTTCCAAACGGAAATGGCCAGCATGTGCAGGTTTGCCGTCAAACATTTTCAAACATTTTTGCCCTATCACACAAGGCAGTGCAAGTTTTAACAGAAAAAAAAAAGTTGGGAGAAACAGTGTATACAGATAAAAGAGGCAAGTCAAATGAACCAAGAAAGTATACAACAGCGATAAGAGACCAGGTTAGAGAACACGTACAAAGTTTTCCTTGCGAAGAGAATCATTATAGCAGAAGCAAATCACAAAAGAAATTTCTGAGTCCAGATTTGAATATAAATCGCCTATACTTGGCATTTAAAAGACAGTTTCCCGATACAGAGGTTACTTATAAGTACTACTAAAAATGATTTTCCGCATTTACGATTCGGTCGCCCCAGAACGGACACTTGCTCAGTTTGCGATCTTTACAAAAATAAAATAAGTTATGCCCAAAATCAAACAGAAAAGGATGAGATGAAAGCCAAACTTGACCTACACCACAGAAAGGCGGAAAAGGCTAGACTAGAAATGGAAAAAGACGGTAATTTGTCACAAATCCCGACGGCCAGCATTAGCATGATGTCTATAGATTTAGAGCAAGTTTTATTTTTGCCAACACTTACACATACGCAGATGTTTTATAGCAGACAGCTTTCGTGCTATAATCTAGGAATACACATATCTGATACTGGAACTGCTCATATGTGTCTTTGGGACGAATCCATAACAGGTAGAGGAGCTAATGAAATTGGATCTGCCCTTTTAAAGTGCCTTAACTTGCCAGCTTTGAATATGAAAAAAAACTTAGTGATTTGGTCGGATAATTGCATAGGACAGAACAAAAACAAAATGTTGCTTTTTTTGTTCATATATTTGGTCCATAATGGAAAGTTTGAAAAAATTGAACAGAAACTTTTAGTTTCCGGGCATTCCTATTTGGCATGTGATAGGGACTTTGCGCAGATTGAGCGTCTTAAAAGAGTCACAAAAAACTACGTACCGGATCATCTTGAAAAAATGATTAGGAGTGCACAACATAAAAATCCATTCAATGTCATTCGTATGAATAGAGAAGATTTTAAAAATCTTCAAGAGATTTCCGATAGCTTTTTAAACACGACCAAACTGAATATATCCAAAGCTTGTTGGATAGAAGTTTCTAAGAAAAATCCAACTTTAGTCAGAACAAAAACAACGTTTAACGAAATGGAAGAATGGACCTCTTGTAACGTTTTAAAACGAGGCAAAACTTTGAGTGACCTTAAAACAACACCGTTGCCACAGTTAGATTGCAAAAACCGCATATCTCAGGAAAAGGCCAAACATTTAGAAGACATGTTAGATTACATACCACTTGCATATATCTCATTTTATACCGGTATCATCGAAAAAACCAAGCAAAACAATCCAGAGTAAACATTTTGAATGGAATTACTGGTTTCACATAGGCCCTTTTACAATGACACGATGCATTAGACATAGGACCTTCTAAAAATTTAATATTTTATTTTGTGTTCCAATATATATTTTGTTTATTTTTGCTACCTTTTTTCGTAAAATGTTGAATAACCTGATGTTTTAATCGAATAAATTTACTTTCATATTTTTTTGTTTTATTTGACATCGCTACATCACAAGAATATCTTATTTCTTCATTTTCTCGGAAGTAAAATTTTCGCACTTAGACCCTTTGGGAATATAACGCTTCAATTGTTAAATATGTAGATAATGGCCTTCTGTTTAGAATAATTTTGTGACCAAATTGAGGTCTGGAGGATAAGTAGCATTAATAACGCGTTTTCCTATAAGAAGTGTTCAATGTTGCAATGTGGTAAAACAAGTCATGTGAGGGACAATTACAATATTTTGTTTCATTTGGAAGGTACATGTGTGCTATTTTACATGCAATATGAAATCGTTCAATTGTCCGCCGCAAATCACATGTCGTTCCAGACCATACATATCAGAGAATTCTAACACAAAAACTTAGATCAAAAAAATTATTAACAAAATACCCATAAAAGATACATGCTAACACATCGGACTGAAATTAAGAGGAAGGTCCACCATCTCTTGCCAGATGTTGACAAACCACAAAGTGCTGCTTGTCCAGCTATTTCTAAATTTCCGAGCTAATACGAATTTGACATCGTGGATCCGTGCCACTTTGCGAAGTCGCGGGGGACATTTAAATAATATTTTATCATACTTTACTATATTTGTTACAATAAAGTCGATTGTCATTTGAATTTAACTGAATATCATCAAGTCATCGTTGGTTGTCAGAGCGGTCCGTGGGACCTTAGCTCTTAAGTCACAGTGTCAGTTTGTAAGTCTGTCAGGTCTGGTAACCCAGAGACCAGACAATTTTTGGGAAAAAAGGGAAGGAAAGGAAAGAAGGAAGAACGAGAGCAAAAGGGAAGAAGAGAATCTTTTAGGATAGGCAGCGTTTAGGCATTGTTAAAATCACTTCACAGATTTTGATATGGTCTAAAAATATTCGATTTTTTTTTCTAAAGATTTTGTCAAAATGCTCCAATTTTGGTTGTTCTAAGTTCACGAGTTAATTTTGATTACAGTGCGAGCCGCGGCCTTTTGTGCTTGCGAACTTGCTCGACTGTGTAGTCCACTGACTCACGCAACAAAGGGTTGCTGTGCGATTCCGCTAGGTTATAGCGCCGCTGCGCCTGTTGCTTAATGTAGTCCTTTAGGTAAGGTACATCGAGGTCTCTATGTAGAGTTTCGTTAGAGACATACCATGGGGCATCAGCAATAGTGCGCAACGTCCTGCTTTGCAGAACCTGCAGATTTCGCATGTGTGTTTCAGCAATGGTTTATTTTAATTAGCCACCGATCCCCCCAATATAATACTTCCTCCACCGCACTTTGCAGCCTGTCATGGACTAGGTCACCAGACCACGACTGAGCCACCAATGCAGTATCGTCAGCATAGAGATAGACTTCACAGTTGTCGACAGGACATTGCCAATTTTGATCCGAAATTTCCTACCTTCAAGGAAGGATTTCAGTAGTTTTAGAAGCCAAAAAAGGAAGCCCTTTTGGATTAGTTTATACAAGAGGCCCACGTACCACACCTTGTCAAATGCTTTTGAGACATACAAAAGCAAGATGCCAGTACTTTCGTTAAGGGTGAATCCTCTGGTTACACGTTCCACCAGCCTAACCGCCAGTAGCTCCATACTATGTTCAAACCGAAAACCAAATTGCACGTCAGGAATCACATGGTGATCTGACGAGAAATTCTCAAAGTGACGTAGAATCACCTTTTCAGCGAGCTTAGACGGAGCTGACAGCAGGCTAATGAGACGATAATCCTGGGGAAATATCGAACCCACCTTCTTTGGAATCACTATAACTTCAGCGGTCTTCCACGCGGATGGGAAGTACTGGATCCTTAGCATGGCATTGACTTTTGCCACGAGATAAGTTAAGGACTTCCGCGAAAGCAGCTTCAGTGCCTTATTAGTGATTTGATCCTCTCCAGGTGCTTTACGCACTTTAAGGTCTTTAATATGACCTTGAATCTCTGCTGGTGTGCAATGTGGGATCTCAGGAGATGGCGCTGATGTGCTAAGCAGATCTTCGGTTGAAGAAGCTTCTGAAGAAGAATCTTCTGATGAAGAAAAATCACCGATAGCGCGACTGTCACTGACGCTGTTGGCCCTAAAATATCTCCTGACAGATCTTACGATGTGTTGCTCCTCGTCGAGGTCATTATCAAGATCATAGTTGGGAGAGAACTGTCTTTCCATGGCATCGGCGAAAACCTCAACCTTCTCCTCTGTCCTGAAGACAATGCCTCCAGGACCGTGAATGTGTGGGATTTGTTCACGCTTTCCGTTTTTGAGCGACTTCGCCACCTTCCAGAGAGGAATGCTTGAGTCAAGCATCCCCGCCATAAAGTCGTTCCATTGCTCATTGCGGAATTCATGAAGAGCATTTCTTACTTCATGAACAAGATTCATCGCTCTGCGAATGTCATCAGGATGACAAGACCTTTTCGCTTGCTTAATTGCAGCCCTTTTATCAGAAATTTTCTGACGAATGTCTGCTGGCAGAAAAGGTCTGCCGTGTCGCTGTACGGGAAGTACAGCTGCACGCTGCAGAGCTTGCTGAACAAAACTTGTCCACTCTGCTTGAGCCGCATCTATACCGTTCTCATCATCTATGATCGGAATATTGGGGAACTCTCTGAGGAGCGACTTGCATAGCTCCCAATCAATGCGTTTCCTTGGAGGGGTTTCATCCCCCAAGATCTGCTCATTACCCACTTCCAAAATGACGGGAAGATGAT